CATCACTTGAAACAAGTGTGCTCACCAAAACTGTTTTGTAAATTTAACCTACCCTTTGAATATGAATATCAAATGTTCACTAAAACTAACCATCATTATTAAACATACAGTTTAAAGCACAGAAACTAATGTTTTATTTTGGTATTACGGCAGACAAAATTCTGAAATGGTCCTCTGGGAGCTTCTGTCTTTATCCTCTTATGACTGATGAGATATGAGCAAGCAAGAAAGATTTGTAGATGTGATGAAAGTTATGATTTCAGTATGTTAAGGCTTCTACATCATAACAACACTTTTCATTGTTCTAGAAGCTGGGAAGTCTAGGATTAAAACATTGGTAGTTTCAGTGCATGGTAAAGAGATAGACATGTCACATTCTTACTTCCAGCTTGCACAATGGGAGAGGTAAGGCAGTTCTCTGGGGTTGCGCCTCAGAAGTAGATCTTTTCCTAGGAGAAAAGAGTTGGAGAGATTCCAAGTGTGAGAAATACACACTTTGCTTTCTTGAAGGTGGAAGGACGCTGTGTCCAGGAATAGAGAGGCTGAGGACACCATGGGCTGATGGCAAGCTACAGGCTGCTGAGTCCTGCTACAAGGAAGTGTTCTGCCGATAAACTGAAAGTACTTGGAATTCATTTGTCATCACTTTCTCTGGGCAAGATCCCAGCCAGACACTTGCTTTCAGTCTTTAAGACTTTTTTAACAGAGAACCAAGTTGACTTTACCTAGATGTCTGACTTAGAGGAAACTGGGGAAAAAATGGATGATAAACGGCTGTTTCAAGTAGAAACAGAAAGTTGACAACAATATATATTTTTCTTGAAGTACTGTGGGTTGAACCCAAGGCCTTCGCATTGAGCTACATTTCAGCCCTTTTTTAACTTTCCACAGTGACCCTTGGCCTCTCTGCAGGTCCCAGTCCTCACTCAGTAAGAATAAAGAAATGGGGCTCTTAGTGGAAAATGGAATCAAGACTGATAAGATGTGAAATAAAAGTTTGTTTTTTTGTTTGTTTGTTTATTTATTTACTTGGCACCAGAAATCAAACTCAGGACCTTGCACTTGCCAGGCAGATGTTGTGCTGCTGAGCTATATCCCCAGCCCAACAAAAGTTTATTTAAAGTATGGAAGAGGAAGCAGAAGAGGAGCTATCTTAATAGCAAGGTGAACTTCAAGACAGCACATCCCACTCAGGATGCCCAGTGAGTCTGAGGTGTGCTTCATATTTATAAGGGTAGCTGGTTTCTAAAAATAACTATTTTACTGATTGGTGCAATCTAGGCCAATCAAGGTCTCAGCCTCTGTTTCTGGGAAGGGGACAAAATCTGTTGGGGATTTCTTAAGCAGACAGTATATGTGAGGAACACTTTCGCAAGGAGTACGTCTCTCAAGCATACAGTAGGGCACATTTCTCAAGTACATGGTACGTAGATAAGCATGAGATATTTTTACAATCACCAACCAAAGATAAGTATGTGATGATTTTACAGTGTCAGCCATCCATGTCTTGTCCTGTGTTGGTTTGGTGTGTCTGTATGTATGTGTGTGTGGCCCATAGTCCCCTAATCTGCCTCTACAAAAAGATACCATGCCTGGGAAATCTCCTTTCCCTTCTGAGGCTTCTTAGCTATTTTAGACTTCAGATCCCAAATTTCTCATTCATTGCAAAACTCCTCTGTGGAGTTTCCATGGAGATCTCTGAGAAAGAATACCAGAAACAGATTTAATTCCAATTTCTTTTGGGGCCCTCAAGCAGGGCCCAAAATCTTGACTCTTCCCAATCCTAACAAACCTTTCTTTCTATTTCTAACCAGCAAAAAGGGACAAACATTAGGTCTACTGGCACAACAAGCTGGAGAACCCCTCCAGCCTGTTGTCTACTCATCCAAACAGCTGGACCTTGTAATAAAAGGTTGGCCTCTCTGTTTATAGGTCTTAGGAGCAGCTGCACTCTTTATCCCTAAGGCCAAAAGGGTGACTCTCCACCAGCCCCTACAGGTACGCTCTTCATACTGCTTCTCTGACCTCAGCCATTGTGCTTTCGCCCTTCTCTGTCCTTCCTGAGTTCAAGTCCTACACTCTCAGCTCTTACTACCCATTACCTTCTGCTGCTCATCTGTTTTAAACCTGGCCAAGCTCCTCCCAATACCAGACTCCCCAGACTCTGCCCCCCAGTATGAGTCCACTGAGCTCCTTGAGTTTACTTTCACCTGTTTCCATCATATAACCTTGTTACATATTCCAGGGTCCCCTATCTGGTTTATTAATGGGGTGCTTCGAAGACCACCACTTCCCAGGCAAGTTCACTGGAAGCTGTCATGCTGGCCAGTTCTCCTAATCTTCCTGAAAAGTAATCGAGGTGGCATCCCTCCCCACAGGGACTCACCACACTCACTAGAACTCTCACTCTCACAACACATAAAACCATCACTATTTACACAGATTCCAAATATGCATCTAATATAATGCACTCAAACATGGGTAAATCTGCCATGAAATGAGATTTCTGAAAGCTCCTAAACAAAGTGGCCCTTAATTCAAGACCTTCTAGGGGTACCTCTTCCACCCCACAGAGTTGATGTCATTCATTGCAAGAGCCATCAAAGACCTAACTCAAGGGATGAATATCTCAGACATATAATTTGTGGAAATAATGAGATGGACAGAGTAACAAAACAGGAAGCCAACTCTCTCTCTCTTTGTTCCACTTCCTGTTCCCTGTTATACCTTCTTATTCACCCCAAGAAATAACTCCACTCAAAGAACAAGGGACACAACAAGAGGAAGAGTGGTGTTTTCTGCATGAAAAATGGGTCCTTATTGAAAGCTTGCAAAACAACTTCCGCTCATCTTTCCATGACTGGTTTCATTGCTGGATCATTCCCTCTGCTCCAATTCCTACAGCCTCACAAACAACTCAACAGTAGTTTTCGGACCTCCCTGCAAATGATTGTTGCCCAGTGCTCCGTATGCCAAACACCAACCCCCAGAGAAACTCAGAGCTCTTCTCTTCCCCACCCATCAATTTCAGGGATCCCTCCCTGGCACTGACTGGCAAATGGACTCTATTCACATGCCTCCAATGAAAAAAAATACCTCCTTGTCCTAGTTGGCACCTTCTCAGGGTGGATAGAGGCCTTCCTGCATCAAACTAAAGATCTTCCATAGTAGCACATATCCTACTCAATGAAATCATCTCCCGCTTTGGACTCTCAACCTTCATCTAAACTGATAAAGGACCCAAATTTACCTCACACATAACCCAGAAGGGAGCATCCTCCCTAAATATAACCCAGAAGTTCCACATCCCATATCAACCTCAATCCCCAGGTAAGGTTAAAAAGGCTAATCACCTCCTTAAACAGAGCCTAACCAAGTTTTCCCTCCAGGTTCACTTAGACTAGTCTAGGCTTCTACTCTTGGCCTTTTCAAACTCAGGTCTCTTCCTGCAAGGCGCTTATGCTCAGCCCCTTTGAGAATTTATATGGAAGGCCCCTCATTGCCTTCACGTTCCCTACCTCCAATCCACCCCTCCCTTCCCCTCCTTCAAATCCTAACACCCTTATGTATCTCATTGCAACTATGCTGACTCTACCCTCCCCAACCCTCCAGCAGCCTAGACACCCTCCCTCCTCCATCCCTGCAACCTGGGGACCAGGTGTATAAAGTCCCCCAACTTATTCAGAGATTGAATCCAAAATGGACAGGGCTCTTTCAAGTCATCTTGACCATGCTAACAGCAGCAAAATTAGCAGGTCATGCCTCTTTGTCCATTTCTCTCTATAAAAGGCCCCCCTTTTCCAGTGCACACCAACTACACTCAACCCCTGAAGATCTCCAGGCTGCCTCCTGTGACTGAAGAGATGGAAGACACAACTAGAGAACCCCGTGAGTCTCTCTCTTCATAACTTTGCCCATTTTTTACCATCCTAGTAGAAGAATTCCCCATATTCACCCTCTTCCTTCCTAGACATCATAATCTAAGATCTATGGCTACAAGAAACCCTCTCAGACCATTCCCCCAAACAAATCACCACTTTTACTTCCTGTGTTCTCCTGCTGTGATCCTTTCTTCCTCAGTTATTACTCATCCTCTTCATCCCCAGCACAACACCAGACCCTTCCTAGGTACTTCAGTCAGACACTCTCATGGAGCTAAAATCATCCAAACCTTTTGAGAGGGTTACTCCTAAGAGAGAGGAGGGGACCCAAAAGTGGTTGCTGTGAGCCCCACTTTACAGAGGAAGTTTTATAGAGCAAAACCACTAGGTGGGTACAAAATCATGAGGTTGGTACAACATCATGAAGTGGGTACAACACGGGACAAAACTATGATCAATCAATAAGGTTACAAGTATAGTTGCTTAGGTAATATTGATCCAATGTGGAAGCAGTCATGTAGCAAGGGTACATGGAAAGAACAAGACCTTTATTTTGGAAGCAGTCAGTCCTGAGATCTTGATCACCCACCAGGGTGACTGATGTGTACCTAGACTCTACTGGATCAGGTGATACCAGATATGTTATCCCTTAGGGAAGTATGTAGTCCTGGTTATTCCATCTTATCTTGAGGCCTGGCCTCCAACAGATGTGCCTCAGACCACAATTGTAATGTGTTTCCATCTTTTGCAATGACTCTCTTGAAGGCCCCTGCCCTACCTGACTGCCTACAATATTTCTACCTAACTTACCTGTCTATAATACTGGGCCAGATTTAATAAAAAACATGCACAGTTGCACTAAGAAAAGCCAGTCAAGGTCCATTCAAGGATTCATGAAAACTACTAATCCTGTCTCAGGACTGCACCTGAAAAACATGAACACCCAGGCCTGAGACCAGGCTTGTCCTGACTCAGAAGGAGGAGTGCCACCCCTCGAAAGACAAATACAAAATTTCTCATAATACGTAAGGGTGTTGCTTAGGTTTGGGGCTTGATGTTGTTTCACTTTTTAATTAGCCAGAACCAGGAAATTCTTATTTCCTGTAACAAAGACTTATCAAGTGATTCTTTACCTCGAACCATGCTATTGGTTAACATTTACACATCCCAACTTGTTAAACTAGTTTTTTCCAGATCCCTACGTAGTCTTAACTGCAGTCAGTTCACAAGTCTGAAAGAATACTCAGGATCCTGCTTATCGGAGAGGAAATCAGAAAGCAGCAGGAAGGTGGAGGAGTTTGCCTTCCCAGCAGTGTACATGTATCAGTAAGTTCAGTTTTATTTCATATTTGAAAGATTTTTGCCTTTAGTTTGGTCTCCAGTTCAAATTGGAAATTATTCTGAGCTGACAGTGTAATCACTTTTTTCCTCTTCTTTTGTTGGAGAAAATAATGACATAATAATATTAATACTCTGTTTCAGGAAAGCGTGCTAATGATTTTAAATTTAGGTTGAAGAAAACTAATATTGGATTAAGTTAAAATTTAATTTAGTGTTGGAAGTTAATTGAAAAACTTACCATGACAATGAGATAATCACAGAAAGATATGAGGAAAAGCAGAGACATTGAAGTAATTTGTAATTCTATACACACAATGGGACAAGGAAGAATGCCGCTCACCTCACCCAAGAGTTCAGAATATATAATTGTCCTTGTGAGCCTCCTAAATTATGCATTAAATTGATATAGAAAAAATAAGAAATATCTAAGTTGTAAAGGATTTTATTTTAATCCTCATTCTGAAATTGATAAATATAACTGAAATTCAAAAAAGTTAAGAATTTTAATGTTCTGTAAGAAATGCTTTACTTTTTAAGCTAAACAATTAAGAAAAATATGAGAGCAATTTTTACATAGCATATAGAAAATGAGAAGCAAATAAATGATCCAATATTTTTGTGCTAGAATTAGATTTAGAAGTCTATAAAGAATAAATCTTAAACATTTTAGTTTTCATTTTTCTGTCTAACCCCATCTACAAGAAAATCCTTTTTCAGCATTCAGCATCAATTCCTCATCTATAAATAGGAGGTAAATTAGGAGGAGGAGACTGTAAATGCCTTTTCTTATAATGCATAGCCACAGTAACACTTTTTCATTAATAATCAGTGGATATGTGTACATAAAATTTAGTTACACACACGTGGATTTCCATAACTCACTTCCTCTAACAGCTTTAATTCTTTCCAATCATTTAAAATGTTCCATTTTCCACCTGCCCACCCTATAGTCAGCAATTGTTCTATTTCGTTGAAAGGAAAAACAAAATGAGCAAGCAAAAAACTTTTCATGCTAATTTGTCTTACAAATTTATAGGACTACTATGCATTAGGATTTACTTTTTAAATGGCTAGTAATAGAAACAGGTGATTATTATGACTATATTATTATTTTTATTTTTATTTGAGAGGATCACCAATCTATGGGAAAATTGACAATGCCATACAAATAGAAATAATTCAGTTGATCCATGTTTTCTTAATAGTTACATATTTTTTTCAAGTACTATTACTGTGTGCCTGGAACCATGTTTGACACTGGGGGCCTACAGTTTGAATTAAGTTTCTGTTAAGGTTTATATGATTGTCAGTTCTGTATTACCTATTAAAAGCAAAAGAAAGCCAGCAGAAAGGTAAAGAGACAAATGAGACAAGGAAGGTATCCAGGAAAATAGATTAAAATAAAAATCTGGGAAAAGCAGAAGATCTACATCTGGTCCACAGAACACAAAATCATTTAGGTGTCTCTATTCTTGATAACTTAAATTTTCAGGACTTTTTCAGTTGGTCCCTCCATGTCCTGTGTAGGACTAAGTGAAAAAAAACTGAGAAGAAAGAAGGCCCACAAACAGAATAAGAGCAATTATTTCTTCTGAAGTAGCATAATCCCAAGTTTAAAAATATAATTAGAGGCCTTTCAGAACATGTACATATGCATGTATATAAGCATATTCACACAAGTACACATACATATATTCACATGTTCTTTTTTAATCATACATATTTTAAAATAAGACTTAAGGCACAAATACATCTGGGTTAAGTTATGGTTATGAAGTTTTATAGGAAAATGTTATGATAATCTTTCATTTAAATGTATTTTTTTTTAATTTTCAACACACATTGGAATAATCATTCTACTTATTAGTGTATTTGAAACATTATTCTCTGTAATAACAACCATCCTGGCTAATTTTTGCACACAATAAAAATTGTTTCCTTAAAATAAATTATTTTCTGCACATGTTTTCACAATCCCTGATAAGGCATCACACAATTAACAAAACATCCTACACTCTAAATTTCTTTTTACATGGACTATTCCCTATAATTCCCTGAATAATTGAAATATAATTCTTTCCTCAAGACATGGGATTCTTAATGGCCTTCTCAAATAAGGATTTATCATTCTTGCATACTGCGAGGTACTTCATGTTAAGGATGTAGTGTTTGTTTAGACCATTACTCTGCACGGCCTTGTGAAATTGTCTTATTCCTTTGAGGTTCACACAAGTCTACTATCCACCCCCCTTTTCTCCTCAGTGCTACCCTCAGACACCCGCTATTTATTACACTTACTGTACATCTCTGTACCATTTTCTATGATGTTTACATTTACCCTAAGTAGCATCTCTGCCTTGTAGTAGAAGTTATTCATTTCCTTGATCTTCTCATCTGTATAATCGTGTCTTCAAGTACTACTCTCAGATCCACACCCTGGCTTTGTTATGACCTGGAGTTATTCTATCTGAATCATAACTTTAGATTCTATCACTATTCTAAACTTCCTTCTTACAGTCTTTTCATGTATCAGAGTATTAAAAAACTCACTTATTCTTCTAATTTTTTAAATTCTTCAAATGTGTCAACAGTTACCCCAACACACACACACACACACACACACACACACACACACACATGCGCGCGCGCGCACACTCATCTTTGGTTTTCTTGTGATCAATAGCTTCCTCATTTAAACAAATTCTTTAATGACACTAAGCTTCACTACGTTCTCTTGCCCCTTATCTCTCCCATCATCCATAGTAGCTACAATCTAGATAAAATATAACTATCTGAAAGTTTGCTCATCTCTGCCCAGAGCTCTTCACAAATGTTCAAGGGTTACATATTCATTCAAGCCGAGAACTCTGCCCTGCATTCCTACATCCTCTTTGTCTATTTTCTGCAATAACTATTTGAACTTCTCCAGCTTCCTCAAATTTTTGATTTTTATCTCCTGCCCTCTCACATTCTACTACTTAAAAGAAAGAAGGTGATTGATCAATTAGATGAGAATTCCTTCAACTTCTTCATATCAGACCAACAACTCTCCCTGCATTGATTAATAATTTCAAGAGGATGTTTACAGTAGATGAAGATTCCCAATCTACTATGTCAAACCATGTAAAAATGTTAATACACACCACCCTTGAGCCACATGAAAGAAAATGTCATACAAGTAGACCTAAGAATTTATAATCCATAATTATGTGAATATGCTCTGAACCCAAGCTCCCTCTCAACTTCAAAATATCTATCAATGTGTTTTTGTCTTCTTAAGTATACTCAGCGTTTCATCTACAAGAAAAAAATACCCTCTATTAACTCCACATACTGAGATGACTTCTCTGTCTTTCCATTCACAAACTCATAAAAAGTTATTGATGTACTCTGTCTCATTTCCTTACTTTTAATTTTTCTTCCAGCTACACTTCTACTCTCCTTTTCATTTTGACTTGTTTGCCAATTTAAATATCTGAGACTAGACCAAACACACTAGCTCACTGTGTTGGTTTGTAAGTGAATTAGCCCTCTTCACCAAAAAGTTCAGCTTTTGGAAAGGAAAAAGTGTCTCCTGGCCTCTCTGTCTATCGTAATCTGGAAGGTCACAGTCCAGACAGTCAAGTATCAGGGGTGCCATGTGCACCAGGTGAGGACCATGTGACCCAAGCATGCCTTTTTCACAAGGTGTGCCGGGCTGCTCAGTTGAAGGCCTGGGTTGTCATGGCAACTCTGCCTAATACTAGCTCTCTTACTGGGGTCATACACTACTTTTATGAATCTTGGGGGTTCTTGCAGACCTACTGGAACTTTGCTGAAAGTATCAAAATTATTATAATTCTGCTCCTTCAAATTTATTCCTTGGTCTCAAGTTTCTATTTTTCTAATGTGCTGCATTATGTACTGCACTGCTATGGTAACTACTCATTACAGCCTATGCTGTACAGGGGGAAATGTATTTACTTATTTATTTATTTATTTATTTTTGGTTTTTCTCTGGTACCAGGAATCGAACTCACGACCTTGTGCTTGCCAGGCAGGCACTGTAACGCTGAGCTAAATCCCCAGCCCCAAATGTTAATAAATAAAACACATGGAGCCTAGGTGATGTCAACCAATTACTACTTTTGTGCTCTTGGGAAAATCTCTTTGGCCTCAGTAGCTTCCACTGAAAATGAGAATAATAATATTTGCCATATTAACCTCATATATTTGTTGGGTGGATCAAATGTTATGGAGCATGTTGAAACACTTTAGAAATTGTAAATAGTAAAGTGCTATATCAATTAAAAGCTATTAATTATCACCATTATTACTATTTGTGGGATCTGTGGTTCACCCTTACACCTTACCAATTTTTTCTTCCAAACCCATGTAGAATAAGGTGGAGCAACCTGAGAAAGAACCACTCCCTACCTTTTCCGGGGCCCTCAGACTCTTGAGGACCTTTCCACAGGCTCTGATTATATGATGTAAATGTGCCAGGCAAGGCAGAAAGAGCACCCAGCATTTAAGGTAGTTTATCAGATGCGTGCAACTGCCACTGATACTCAACTAAACTAAGAGAGTCCCCCTCTGGCAAGTGTTGTGCTACCTTAACATTAGGGTGAGTACCAGGAATGTAGGGAGAAGAGCATTATCTAGATAGAAGCCCCTTGATTGCAGTGTTGACAGAACCCTCCAAAGAGAACAAGGCCGGTGTGTGGTGTCTCCACCACCTCGAACACAGCACTTACTGTTTACATTTTTCAAAGCATCTGATTGCGCTCTACAGAGTCAGTCACAACCACTGATTTACTCAAGCCTGTTAACTGCAGAGTGAGCACTTCCTCTTTCTTTCTCTTACCATCTCTGTGGGAATTATCTCCATTTTATAATTAATCAGTTCAGGCTGCAGTGCATGAGGCCAAATCACATGACTTGCAAGTATCAAGGTATTCTGTCTGAAAACAACCCACACCTTTTTTTTGACAAACATAACCCCC